CATGCTAACTATGTAGGGGCAGTGATAGCCATGCTAACTATGTGATAGCCATGCTAACTATGTACGGGCAGTGATAGCCATGCTAACTATGTAGGGGCAGTGATAGCCAAGCCAGTCCAGAGACTGACTGCAGTTCTACTCTAAGGTTCAATGAGCAGCACCCCTGACATGTAATAAACTATACCATGCATATGGTTTCAGTTTAATAGACTATATTAATTAGGCTATGTATGCTTCCAAAAAAATAAAAAAATTACACCATCCCCCTTCTTTTTTCCCCCAAAACTAGACTTGTGTCTACAGTCGATGACTCGCAAAGTGGAGGATGATGATCATTGCCGTTGGATAAGTTTCTATAAGTTCTTCACACAGATATCATTCCTCAAGCTCAGTTTAACTGGAGCAATAGAGGCACAGAGACTTATATTTGATGTCTCAGCATAAAAAAATGCTCTCTTATGCACAATTCATGTTTAACTTTAACACTTGTGGAACTCTAGTGATAGTTTATTGACCATAAGATGCCATAGCGATGTCGTAAATGTACATTTCAAAGGTTCTCTGTAAATGAGAGGAGCTTCTTGACTCATGCTCAAATTGACTTGCCACCATCTAGACACACTCATGAATCAGTGTCTGTTTTAATTAAAGCAAAGCTGGGATGAATCCAACCGTAACACAAAGCTGATCTTTCTTTTCCTCTTTATAGACTCAAACCAAAGCTGTGCCTCAGGGTGACGAGACAGAATAAACGTCGAGTCAAATTTTCATAGAAGGCAAGGACATGGTAAAAAAAAATCAAACAGTCTGGGGAAGCCGAAGCATCACCCTGAAGTTACATGACTGAATGATGACGCATTAGTGGAGTAAAACCGGGGGCCAGAGCATGGCCGCAAATAACAGAACCATGAAGAAGAGCAACATACCGAAGGGCGTAAAGGACGGTGCCGTTACTGAATATACGTATGAGACGGTTCTCCACCGTCACATCATGGAGGAAGGAGCGCTTAGAGTCTGGGATGAAGGTGTCAGGGATCCATAGCAACGACACCAGCCGTCCGTCTACACTCACGCTTTCATTCCCGGGAAACACCAGCCTAGAATCCCGCCAGCGCTGACGGAGGAAAATGGTTGCAGTGTAGTCCTGAAAGCATTAAGAAGACTTTTGATTATATTTTTCCAATCAACACATCCAAACAGTAATATAGAATGAAAGGGAGCGGGGTAGACCATGTTTATTTCAGAGATGGCATCGATGCTGGCGATATCCAGGCTCATTCCGATTTCAACTGGACCTTCTGTTGTAAACAAAGATTTTGGTCAAATTTAAATCTGCACTTAAAAAGCAATAGCTCTGATGGTAAAAGTTCTCCATCTAATAATTACCGTTGAAATTAGGCCTTAGGTAGCGGTTATATCCCTTCATAAGTTTTTGGATGGTGGGTAGGAGCTGAGAGTCGTTCCAATCACCCCAGTGGTTGTTAGGGATCATACAGCCACTGAACAAATCAGAGAAAAACAAAAGGTCAGGGAAGAAGGAATGGAAAACACATTCGGGATAATTTCAACATCACTTCTCTCACCCCTGTGTCATGGTTAGACAGATGAAGAGGAGCTCATTTAGCCGGAAAGCCATTGCCGATCAATAGGTGGAGGTCAACAGCGCTGCTCGGATAATGCAAGAAAAGAAATGAAAAGCATTAACTCATAATTTTCCTTCTGCTTTACCTTAGAAAAGTTTTTATACTCTAAGGGCCTGACTTTCAACGATTTCAAATCAGAGGCACCAAATTGCGCATGCAATTCCTTTTTTAGTTTGTGCCATGGGCGTAGGTTTGCATAGGGACTAGGGTTGTCACGATACTAAACTTTTCAACTCGATACCGATACTAAGTAAAATATTCGATACTCAGTGTCATTTTTGATACCACAAGGATAAAAACAAAGACTCCAAAATTCAACAGAAATTTTTTCATTAATAAACAAAATACAATAAATAGATAAATAAATACAATAAACAATATTTTGAGGTTGTATGCTGTGCACAATATTAAGCAAGCTTGATAAAAAAACTTACAAAATTAAAATTAAGTGTTCCTTCCTTGGCAATGCTTTACACACATAATAATGACACCGAAAAGTGCACAAAATTATTCAATCACGCAGTGTTCAGAAAGTGAATTTTCCTCTATTCTGCACTTTAGATTAATGACTGTTTAGGTGCCACTGGTGGTGGCACTGTATCGATACTTTTGAAAATGAGTATTGTATTCGGATACAAATTTTCAGTATCGATACTTTTTTGAGTATCGATACTTTTGACAACCCTAATAGGGACCATAGGGACATGTCCCTAT